AAAGAAGAAAAAAATACCAATTGAAAATGCTGTCGTCTTTTGAGTAAGATGTTGCATATTTTGCCTTTTCATTTTCCCCCCTTCGACGGTAGCGCTTAGGGCCCTCACCAAACTCTCAGTAACCATGGTAACTGTATACATACCCATGCTGGCGATGGTGCTGAATGGTAAGTGGAGAAGTCCATCTGCCGTTTCACGTATTTAGCGCTGATATACCACGTGAATTTTTTTGACTTGTTGTATTAAGTTTTCTTGATGCTACATTTTTTTCTATATTGGTACGCCTGTAATTGAGTGTACGTTTTAAGCAAGCCTGGGAGGCACTGATTGGATTGAGGATATGACTTCGTGCACATCTTACTCAGATTGTTAACTCCATATTGTGTTAAATAATGCACCCTCTTTTTATCCTTTTGTTAGCTGTGATTTTAAAGCTTGAATGATTTTGTTAATTCTTGCAATGAAAAAGGCTCTTGTTCCAAGTGTTGAATGCTAGATGTTGCTTTTCCAATGGTACTTCTCTTCTGAAGGGTTATGTTGCACACTGCTAAAATTCGTTTGTCCCTTTTTTGACATTTTCTTTGTTTCCTTGTACCTTGTCTCTTTCCTTTCTACTCCACTGCATGTTCCTTCATATAATCTTTTTTCTTTTTTTTTTTTCTGTTTTGAGTATTTTTGTATCAGTGTTATCATGGAATACAAGCATGCTCTTAAGTCTTAAATTATGCAATACCTTTTAATTTGCTTTTAATGTCTTTTTATTAAAGTTTAAATGATATGATGTTGCTTTATTGAAATGATTTGTAAGTTAAAATGGTTATGAAAGTAAATGTAATTATAAATAGTATGATTTTGTTATGCACCTGTTGCCTTCTATAAATTAAATTGCATTTTATTTTTACATGACTAATAGCAGTAATAATGCATGCATTTAATAGTGACAGTGGCCCTCCCTGTAACCCTTTCTAATCCAGTGTTCTATGTGCTTAGGTAAATAATGCAACAGCACGTGTAATGACAAATAAAAAGACGGTCAACCCTTACACGAATGGTAAGTGCATGAAACCTCAGAGCTGTGTTTGAATGCCCCTGCATGTCAAACCTCACTCTGCTGAGCTCCTGAGGTGTCATCACCTGCATTTCCAGGGGCTCAGGCTTTGCCAAGGGTCCCAAATCATTACATGGCTGGGCAGAAGTTCCCTAAAATCCATCTCAGCTCATTCACATCCACGTGGGCACAGCATGCATCTCATTGCCTGACTGGAATCCGAGGGTTTATAACCACAGTGGCTTTCATAGAGGAAAAGAGACCTGATAGGAAAGCTTTACTCTCTGTGCCTTTGTGTTAATGTTGCAATAAATGATTCAGTTAGGTTTGGGTGATGGAGGTGGGGAGAGCAGCAAGAAGAATGTCTCTGTCAGGCATGAGATACCTTTTAGACACAGATCTTGTCAAAGATAATTTTCTGTGTTTCCCTCCAGTGTTGGAGGAAAAGGGCAGACTTCTTTTTCCCCCCATGGAAAAATCAGAATTCCAATCCACCTAAAATGAAAATTAATTCTAATACTGACCTAAGTTAGTAATGTTGTACATTAATGATAGAAAAGTAAATCATAGATATTTGAGGGCTCTGGAAACAGTAGATTTTTAAAATGTTTCCTTTGGGAGTGTTTGATCACATACTTGAGTTTGCATTTACTAGTTCAGAAAATTCAAACAAGTTCCTAACTCAGCCATGTCAAACAACACCACATCAACTGAAGTTAATTGCAATTACTTTTCAGTTTCATTAGACTGTGTAGTTCTCATTATTTGTGTTTCAATTTCATGCAGTTTTTCCCATCCAGTAGAAAGCAGATGAAATCTGCACATTAAGGTTTCCAGAGGTAGATTATATTCTTTTCCATTTTGAAATATAATGGATCCTATTTTCTATATTTGATATCTCATTAGTGAGGTTTTACTAAAACCCAGGGCAAACAGTGGCTTTATTTTTTAATGCAAGGCTCATCATTTTTTCCTGGCACAATGAAAATAAAATTAAGTGATGGTTTTTATTTGACATGTGATAATTGAGCTAGAGAAAATGATCTGGAGAAGAAGGGTCTGAAATTCCTCATGATTTCTCAGAAACTGTTTTCTTTCTCGTTTTATATGTAAATGTGAAACTTGGTAAATGATGCAAAAAATCTCCTTGGCTTTTGCTGATTTTAAAGCATCTTGGTGAATTTAGTGAGAGAGACACAAGGCTTGACAGGATCACGTAACAAGATTTTGTTGCAGTACAGAGCATTATACATATACATATGAGACTATGAACTCTGTCTGCTACCTTGTAATGATAAAAGTAGTTTTTCTACAAAGGATGATGCATATTTTGTATTCATAGTATCCTAAGGCTACAAAACTATTCATTAGCAAATAACACGTTTCATATCAGCACACCCAGTGCTGAAGGAAGGGAATGCTGGCAACAAGAGAGGTGAGATTTTTAGGAATCTCATTTTAGAGGAGGTTCATGCCTGTGCCCTGCACTGCAGGATTGCTTAGGCCATACATTATCATTTAGTAATATCCAAAACCAGGACAGGCAAAATCTACTGTTAAGTGTTTCCCACTGCAAGTGTTCTGTTTGTCATTTTCCGTCCTGTTTCATCTCATTTAGATCTCACCAAAAGTATGAAATATCCTGTTCAGTGCATAAAAATTAGCTTTTATCTTTGTGAGTGCATACAGCCAAGGTGCTGCATGCAGAACGTTCTTTTGCACACCATTTGAAGGGTATCTACCAAGAAAAACTCTGGTTGCAATGCTACTTTTGTTACTTTCTTTAATATCTGAGGTCTCCTAAAGTAAACACACAAGGACAATCACGTTCCTCTTGCATAATCATCACAAGCAACAAGGAATGAAGTGTAGACATGCAAGGTGCTTCATTTAGTTTCATCAGTGCCTGTGTTATCAGTCATCCTGGCATGGGGTGATTTTAGTTCTTTATCATCGTGTCAGGAATTAACCAGTGCTGGAGCTGATTATTTATTAAAGATTATTGTTGTCTAAAGTAAAGGTCTCGTCTTTTAAATAAAATATAAAGCTAGTTTTTCTACCAGCATATTAACATTTGCAAGATTTCTGATGCAGGTAGCCCCAAACATTTTTTTTGCACATGCCTGTCGCTTCAGAACCATTTATTTTTTAATGCCTGGCTTTATTTTTCAAAGACTATGTTGTGACTGACACCTTGTTGGCAGGTATTCAAAAAGTAGTGGGGGCACATGTTGTATTATATGAAAACATCAGGCACTGATATTTATTTTAATTTAAAAACAAGATATACACTGTTTTGTCTTTCTTTCCTGAATACTGCTGGTTGTTTGATAACAGGGCTCATTTTGATAATAGGATTGCAGAAGTCAGTAGATTTTGACACACAAAAACCTGGGCTTTTTTTTTTTTTTTAATGTGTTCAGCTTCATTCAAATAAGCTGTTTACTTTTGTGTCTAAATGATCTTTGAAATAAGTATGCTTTCCACTGACTTTTGGCTGCCCCAAATGAGCAATTAATAAATGCTCTGTTGCTAGGAGAGCTTTTCTTTTCAAGTTTGTTATCAGACAGGATGATTTTGATGGCTCACCTCATGCTTTGGAGATAGAACTACCTTTTGTTTGCAAAGAAAATCAGTGTCAGGAGTTCCACTCGTTGGCAAAAGTTTTTGAGGCATTTTCAGATGTTCCAGCCTATCCTGTTCACAGTTGTACTTTATTCTGATGCCCATATTGCAATTCAGGATGCTGAGCCAAGTGTTGTAGGGCATGGAGAATTATGGGCAACTAGATTCAGAGAACCGCAGCAATAAATGAGGGGCATGAAACAGGGATCAGTAAAAGGATAAATGTATTGTAAAGTTTATACTTGTGGTGCCTCGAATTTGAGCCTTCTGTTGCTCTAAATTTAGATTCAAAACCACAGCTAGTGACTATTAACACAGTTAAATTCCCTCCCTTACACCTCTGTAAGCAAACAGGAGGGAAGCAAAAGGTGTCGATGATTTCTTTGGATGACTCTACAGAGTGGGAGCCTGGGTCAGACAGAGGGGTTTTTCTTTCCTTGGCTGGTTTTTAAGTTTTAAGCTTTTACAGTCTCAACTTGAGGAGGAGATTAATATTGTGACAGTAAGAAAAATGCACAAAATTACACCCACAGCCGAGAATTTGCCTCCTCCAGCTGCTGCAGTCGGGTTACTTGGCAGCTGCTCGCTCGGATACATCAACTCCCATCACACTTGATTAACCCACACAGCTATGGGCCAGCACATTGTTGGCTGACAAGATAAAGTTAAGTTTAATTACTGTTATTTTCACGATGAATGAAGTATTTCCTCTATAGGCTTCAAAAAGTTAGATGAGACAGCCGTCACTGGGAGAGTGGTAAAGAGCTGAAATATGAGAGTGCCTTTCAGCTGTGAAGAACAATCTGCCTCTTCCAAGTTTTTTTTTTTTTTTTCTTCCTCTCAGACGAATTGTGGTACTGTTAGTGTAACTTAGAAGCTGAGAGATGTCTGTCAGCTGCTTTGACAGCAAAAGCTGACAGATCTAGAATTCTGTCCAATCTTTCATTTTGGGTGGTGTTGATCAGTGGTCTTCTGAGGAAGTACTGAATTTTGAAATACTGTATATTCCCCAAGCTATAAAAAGTTAGACTTTTACCAAAAGTCTCAAAATTGGAATGATTTTCTATCAAATGAAATTTGGCTTACAGATATGTCATACCATGATGTTCCTAAATATAATCCTGTAGTATGTAAAATTGAAGGGTCGAGTAAAAATCCTGTGGTATTTTCAGGAGGCAAGACACTTTAGGCAGAAATAAGTGTAGTGTGCATTTAAATTCTTCTAGTCTTGGCTTTTGTGATTTTGAAAAGCCTTGTTGTCACTATCTTGATTGTATTTTCATTCCAGCAGGGGTTATAAGTCCTAATTTAAGTACCAGAGTTCTGGAGTTTGCAAGATGCTTTCACTCAGGTTTTTTTCTTTATTCCCATTTACAAAAGGTGCTTCCCACTCCTCTGATTTGAGTGTGCTTTAGGAAACCCCTAATTTTTCAGTCCCAGTACTTCAAAATAATTGTTCACTTAAGGAAAAAAAAAAAAAAAAAAGAAAGAGTGTGGGTGGGGGGATGTTCTGTGGAGCTTGCAGTTAACTGGGATTGGATCTACCTGTGGCTGAGCAAAGCACAATGATTGGCACTTCACCGCAGCTCAGAGCACTAAGGAGTTTTCCAGTGTTCTCTTTGCTGTTCTCTTGCCCCTTCCCCTCCAGCCCCTCCAGCATGGTTGTCTTTAACATCACACATGCTTTGCACACAGACCCTGCTTGTGCAACCAGCCTGAGCACTCCAGGCTCAGCTGGAAATGCCACGTCAGGTGTAAGGGCACGGCAGTGACTATTTGGAGTTTGTCCGGGACATGCAGTCCAGAGGATCTCCTGGTTCTGTGCTTTGGTTCTACAGCAGCAGTGGGAGGATGGTGATTATTTAAGACAAAGGCAGTGGCTGCATTTGTGGCCTTTCAGAGCTGTGCAGGATGAGCATTCCCATTCTCTCCCCAGCACTGTGAGCAGCCCCGGTGTGTGTCTGCAATTGTCCTGTGAAGTGCCGACAGTCAGGTTTACAAATGCAGGTGGACAAAGTCCCTGGCATTTGGCTGGATCCCACATCTCTTTCATGTCACAACAGACATTTCCACACTGTGGCTGTGCTTTCATTTTCCCCAGAGTGGAATCAAAAGTGCTCCAGTTATTTTGGTTACCTTGTAACCCCCTCTAACAAATGCTTATCAGAAAAGTTTGTGTCCGATGAATGGACTGTCCTGGTCTCTCTGAACTAGGAACTGATGTGCTCTGGTCCTACAGGGTACAGGGATAGCTGAACTAGTGCTGGCTTAATTCCATAGCTTAAGGAGTAAGACCATGGCAGCTGTGCATTTCAGCCAAGGTAGTTCACCTGGTCATCTACCCCAGTGCTGTGTCTGGAGAACGCCTTGTTTCATTACTTATTTCCATGCATCAGAGTCTGATATTAAAGATCAGTAATCAAAGATGCCTACAAAACCTTCATTAAAATGACCTTTCTTGAAGCCCTTTTATCTGTTTATTTCTATACAATGATAATAATATAATTATTATTATTATTATTATCATCATCACCAATTGCAATATTAACCCCGTTATGTTTTTATGTTTGCTGCAGGCTGGAAATTAAATCCAGTTGTTGGTGCAGTTTATAGTCCAGAGTTCTATGCAGGTAAGGATTGTGCTATAGTTGTCCATACCATATTTTATTTTAGTATTCTTTAAAATATGCAAAAGTACAGAATATGTGTTTGGTGTGAGGTTTGGTTTTTTTGTGTGATTTCACATTAACTACAAGTTATTTACAGATTTGTGATGCAGGATTTTATGTTACCTGGGCGTACTAAACTTTATATAAAAGATATATGAATACCTTTTTATTGGAAAGTAGATAGTATAACATGAAATGTACTGCAGTATCCCAGTCCCACATGAGATTTTATTTTATTTATATTTTATTTTATATTTCAGTACTGTCATTTTCCTCCAGGAATTATTTAAGCCTAGTGAGCAACAACAGCAAAAAATCTTATCTATAAAAATCTTTATTTTGTATTACATATATGTAGGTAGCTGCACATAGCTATTGAATATTTGTGTTCGTAATGTGGGGTTTTTTAACATATTTCTTTAAATTTTATATTTAGTTTTTCAGTTTCATATTTTTGTATTTAAAATCTATATTATCACTTGAGTCTTCAGTGATACCGAATTCTGATCCTGGTTGCAACTTGAAGTTAGAGAGATGCAGTCTTTTTCTGCTGGAATTCAGTCATGGCAAGCATCAGTTTCTAAATGTGCTTTAGCAACAAGATTGAAAATAAACTTAATTGTACTCCAAAACCTCATTGATTTCAGAGAGATTTGGATCCTGCGATATCAGGAAAGCATTTTTCATGGGTGGTAGTTAAGCTTGGGAAGAGGTTGCCCAGAAGAGCTGGGGAATTTCCATTCATGGAGATATTTCAGTCTCCACTAGGCAAAGCTGAAAACTTTTGTTACTTTGAGGGATTTGAACAGATAAAAATTGTTGAAAAGGTCATTGTTACAAACAGATATTTGTTGTTTAAAAAAGCTGCCTGTAATACCTCCAGTGCCTCTACTGAAATAGATAAAAATGTTCCAATTAGGATAAAAGTGGCAAAGTATAATAAAAATACTAACCTGGCATTCATGGGATTGCAATATTTAGTGTAGGCAGAATTTATTTCCCTCCCTGATGAATGTCTAAGTTGAAAACAGGAATTTAACATTGATCTCGTTTGAGCAGTTAGTGAACCAACCCTGAACCTGCATAAATTAGAAAGTCAGAGTTATTAGTCATTTTATATAAATGACTTTGTGTTAATGACAAATATAATAATATTCCCATAGTACAGTAATCAATTTTCTAATACGTATGCAGAATTAACAATCTGACTTATAATTGTCTCATGAAGTAGGGCATGAAGAGTTCACATAGTTTGTAAATTAAAATCAATATTTTCAATCTCTCCTGAAGGTAATTTTCCTAATTTACTGGACTTTTCCCTAACATTTATTTTGTCTTTTAATTATAAAATGGCAGGTTATTGATTTTTTTGTATAACCTCCTCAAGTCCCAAGTGCATTTTTATTGCCAACACTAGGGAGGTGTTTGCCCTTCTTAATGAGAATCTTTAATTACCATTAGAAGAGTATTAATTTAATTTTATGAATTATGACATGCACTCCACCACACCTATGCAGAAAGTTCTATCAAGATGCTTCATTTATTTCAGATTTTTTTTTTCTGTTTATGCATGCAGACAGTTTAATATTTAGGTTTTGGTGTGTTTTTTTTTTTTTTTTAATGCATGCCAAATGCATTATTTTTTATATTGACTCAAGGATGATATTTTCTCAGACATTTAAACTTTCTTTTAAATAGTTCAAATCTCTTGAACAGATTTAGGAGATTTTTAGATCTCCTAAAGATGTTAGGTAATGAAACAGTAAAAGAGAACTGCAGCTGGAACAGAACACTGCAATGTATCTTTACTTTTGGGTTCCTCCCAGCACCTTTACTAGAGAAGCAGCAATTGCACTTTTGAAGATTAGAGAATTAGAAATGTGATTTTTAAGGCAGTGAGAGTTCTAGTTATTTGGTTTAATTATTGTCTCCAACACTGTCAGGATAAAATCGCACCAACTTTTTCACAGTCAGCGCAAGAAGTTCCTTTTGCTCCTAATAAACGATGAAAAATTTGGCCACTTCTGAAATAAAGATGATACATTTGCAGAGAAACTGTTGATTTAAAGTACCTTTAATCTTCATAAATAAGTGAAAACCAGAAGGTTATACAAAGCTGTCAGGATGGCACTGATGGATGGCAAATTCCTCCGTTCCTCAATTGCCGGTGAAGACACACGCCGCAAGGCTGAGCCGTATTGTACATCATATCTGCCAACTCATTCCTGTGATTAAATATTCCATCAGTGCGGGCTGGAAGGCGGTAAAGCTTAACAAGATTCATAAGATGCACCACTTGAATACACATAACTCACTTCCTTGGCTGGAGAGCACCCCGCATGCAAAAGAAAATTAGAATTGAGTTAAATTACTCCATAAGACAAGATCAATAGAGAAAGGAGAAGATCCCCTAATGCAATGCAAATCTAAGATATAGTTATGTCCTGACAACTTGAAGCAGACAATTAAAGTCAAATAGGGAGGAACGCAATGTAAATCAACCCTAAAACCTTGAAGATAACGGTAAACAGTAGGACCAGTGACATGATTGTTATAGCTCAGCTTTTTTTTTTTTCCCCCTGAGCGTTCACTTCTGTGAAGGAAAACCTTTACTGAGGAAACGCGTGACAGCTAAAAATGGAGCCGACAGGATGCGTAGCAGATGCACAGCAGACACTATGAAAGTAAAGTATTACTTGGGGACTGCGAAATACTATATATTTACAAACCACTCTAGATTTTTCTTCCTGGGTAGCCCTTCTAAGGCTGTTTTTGTGACTGTGAAATGCTCACGTGGTAGTAAATTAGAACCCTCTGGAAATACGGCTCTTTAGCCGTGGTGGTGTTAGTATGGATTTCCAGTGGCACGTTCATGAAGGGCCCCTTGAAGGCTGCTCTGCAATTCCAAGGTCTAGCAAAGCTCCCTGATGGCTGCTGACTGTGGATGTGCTGGTGAACGTGCTCCTGCCCTTCCCACCACTCCACTGGGGAGCCTTGAAATGATATTTCATAGAAAACAAAAGGACAGTGATTTCTTTTCTTGTTTATATTCCTCAGATTTTCACAGCATTCCACTTTTCCATGTATGATAATGGATAAGAAATTTTTTAAAAGCTGACTCATATCCACTCTCCCTCTATTAGTAAAGGCATACTCTTTAAGGTGGTTTTCCCCCTCGTGAGAAAGAAATGCTTAATGAAGTTATGATTTCCATTTCAGCTTATCTTTCCCAGTAAACTTTTTATCAAGTTTGTAGGCAGGTTCTAATAAGGAAATCTGTAAGAAGCACTGTGTGATTCATCTCACAAACTCTTAGTGTCAACTGGGACAAATTTTCCATTTATTTGTGTATCCCTCCAGTTGTAAATATATCCCAGAGTGACCCATAGTTTTGGTATATTCAGCTAGAGTCTTTTCACTTCCCCTATACACTCATTTATGCCTGGGAAAAACACAGGTTTCCAGCTGGGTTTCTTTACTAGGTGTACTCTGGTTCTTTCTTTCTTTCTGTGATTTGTTATAATATAATTTTTACCTGCCTATTTTTATGTGGTGTATATTTTATCTGTGATAACTAACCATCCTTTCAGCCTCAGGCAGTCTGAAAGCCAGTTTCTGTGTTGTTCCTTGCAGTTATTGCAGATCTTTTTGGGTTTTGGTTTTTTTTAAATGATGAATTTTTGAGCAACCTCCTACACTCTCCTTATTGAACTATATTGTTGCACCTGTATTACTACAACAGATCAGTCCTTTAAAGCAGGTAGCTTGAGACACACTAAGACCATTTTAAAAGTCTTTGTCATTCATGGGAGAAAATATATTTGTTATACCTGTTGGAGAGGTTTCTTTTTGGCAGGTGGGGAAAAAGATGTTACAGAAATTACCTGGATATCTAGTGAACACTCAGAGAACAGTTCAATTCACTATGATTCACGTGAGAAAATACTCTTGTCTGGTCATGACCAACAAACAGTATCTCAGTAATTTCAAAATTTAAGTTGGCAGTGGAGAAAGGAAGGACAGAAGACTAGTGATGAAGAACCCTTAGAACAAGTCATGGAGTACAGCTTGGTGACAAGTAATAGCTCCCATTCTCCTTTTACTTAAGGGACTGTTATTTCTCCTGAATGATGATGAAGTTCTAGAAGTTTCTTAGAAGGGAGTTTCAAGAGTCATCCTACATAGCCCTCTAGTTGTAGTCACTTCATAAACAGTCTTAACAAGGTAAGACTCTTGCAGGCACCCAGTTCCTTGGGCAGTGAGTAGTTATTATTCCAAGGTCACTGGCAACATTTTCCCCATCAGTTAAAATGAAAGAGAGGGAAAGAGCTTGTGCTTTTTTAACTATTTTATGTGCCCTCAGAGGACAGAGAAGTTTTAGATGCCCAGGGCTTTTTGGCATGTTGTGGATCTGGAAGGTAACAGTGCCCCTCAACCATCAGATTTTGGAACAAGCTTCCTTTGACAAGTTTGTTTAAAAGTTTGAAATATCATGTTATATATAATTAAGAAGTAAAGAAATACCATAGTAATATTTATCAAAATATGCACTTAAATAAAAGGAATCCAGGGGAAAAGAGGATTCCTGTACATTTGCTAACACTAATTCTCTTTGTTCATGTCTTAAAGCATCTATTTCTGGAGTGTGAGAGCACTTGGGATTCATTTCATCTTTATAGTGTTTCTGTTTGAATTTAAATGAGTCTTGCATAAGCTCAGCAAATACCCTAGAAACACTTCTCAGTGAAGATGTTTGGAGCTTGTGAAGCTGAATTATATGCTTGCACAGCAATTCTAATCCTGGGGTAAAAGTTCACTGTTCCATATCTCTAAAGCATAATTATAGTGAAAACTGTCTGTCTGTTACTACTTACATTAATTCATTTTACAATTTGATTACATACACTTAGATTTGAACTTTGCTAAATAAATATATTTTGAAGATTGTTAGATAAGCAGCT